AAGATGGGGAAGGGGGTGAGGTTTTTAAACCCTCATCTAAGGTGGGCAGAAATCTCCTTTGTCAGCAGTCTTCCAGAACTGGTTTGGTCAGAAAAAAAATTGGGGGCTGGAGATGGGTTTGTGTCCCTGCTGCCCAGCCTGGCCTTATTGGGCAGCGGGAGCTGATGTCGTGAGTGCCGCCTGTGCCCAGGCCAGCTAGCAGGGAGGTCGCCGAGGCCAGGTACAAATCCACGGTGTGTACGTATTCTCAAGTTTAAATAGGTTGTACATAACGAAATGTAAATGAACTGTAAAACAGCAATCTCTATTTTTCTTGACAATTATATAGCAGTATATATTTGTGAAACATGCCTGTATACTCGCCATTAACCATTTTGATATTTTGTACAGATAAGTTGATTAAATATTTTATTGATAAAACTGATCCTGACGGGTTTTTGGAGAAATACTCTCGATTTGCTTGGCCTTTCTGTGTCAGACCGCTCCTACCCCTCACACCGAGGACAGTGGTCAACCACGTGGGGGAAACAAGAATGACTCGTTCAAACGGGGCCACCTGGGGGCTCCAGGCCTATCAGTCTTTATGCTGACCCTTCCCCCTCGAAACACCTTGTGTTTTAATGTGGAGTCATCCACCAGGATGGGGGCCTGAGGCAAAGCACCGCTGCTCCCTGGGTCTTTGTGAATGGTGTGACATTGCGTATGTCCCTGTACACAGCCCCACGCTGCATGAAAGCACTGCACGGGGAGGTAGAAGAGGCCAAAACGCAGTGGGAAATGAGCACCGTCACTTGTAACGAGTGAGCGTTGTCACCGCCAGCACAGTCTGAGTGGAGAGGGTGTCTGCTTCCGCACATAGCAGGCTGCTGGGGGACCTGTCGATTCAGAAGCACAAGCACGTCACGCTGCAGGCTGCTCCGTCGCGCCTCTGAAACCCAAAGCGTGGGCCCAAGTGTGGCAGCTTCCTGTGCAAGGCCAGTTGTGTAGCGTGGGAAACCAGCGAGGCCGAGGCCGTGCCACAGACGCTGCAGGGCCGTTCTGCTCAGCACTTTTCCAGACCAGATCTGTGCGCAGGGACATCACCTTGTTCCCTTCAGCGTCTCTCTCAGACTGGGCAGGAGAGGACCCAGCACACAGCCTAACACCACCATCCGGCTCTCACACTCGACTTTTACCTACAGATGAAAGAGGAAGCTATTTCATCTGTTCCTTAGGTATTTCTGGGAGAGGGTTAGTGACAGAATAGTAGCAGCATAAGATGACAGGGAGTTGCCCCCGCGATGTCTTGTTACCAGAATTACCACCTCTGGGACGTGGATCAGGCCAGTGCGACCCGGCTTTTCACAGCGACGGCGATGCACGTCCACTAAGCTCCGGTGGGCCCGGAGCGTGTTAATGCCAGTCACTGTGGTCATGTGTCTTTCTCTGGAGAAAGGCAGATCAAAACAGTCTGCTTTGTTTCTGCTTAATTTCACCAATACTAAAGAAGTCTCTTCCTTTGGAGGAAAAATGACTTTCACCTTTCGACTAACTCATTTGGTACGTACAATAAATATATAAACTTCATGCCATTGAAAAGTGTAAAGTCTCGTCATGCTTTGTGTCTAAGGATCTTTGGGGTGTTCTCCATTTTCGTATTTTTCAGTCTCCACTTACCTACCCTGTCTTCTGCGGTGAGAGGATTACACATTCTGCAGAGAAGGGGCAGTTACGGGGAGAAAGGGAAGTCGGGGGTGGCATTTAGAATTTATCCTGTTTCCTGTCACTGACGAGAGCATGCCTAGAAGGCCCTGCAATGACTGGTGCTAACAGCGGGTGACGCTGGCTTCTGGTGCACCCCGACAACCCGACAACCCGACACCTGCTCACAGCCATGCGAGGATGAGCACCGGGAGGCGGGGCTGCCTGACGTGGGCATGGCTGCTTTGTGCTCCTGCGCCCCTGGGAATCCTGTACTCCTCAGCGCAGGAGGAACAGTGAGCGGGGAGAAACCCGTCGTCCGTTGCAACGTGTCACCAGCTTGCAGCCACTGAGAGGCTGTGGAGTCCTAATCACACGCAGGTGCCCAGACGTCCGCAGGGCCTGAGCGGGCTGCATCTGCAGAGCGGGATCCTAGTCCCTCTGAGGGGCAGGGGGGCCCTGCAGGTGCGCCACACCCCCTGGCTGTCAGGACCCCAGCCACAGGGTCACATTCCCCTGCCAGGGAAGAGGAATTTTCCCATAGACATACCCAGCAAGGCAGTCTGTCCCAAAGCGGGGAGGTCAGCACAAGCCCCTTCCCCACAATGTCTGAGGAATGCAGAGCAAATGAAACGCAGCGCTGTCCCCCAGCACGGGCTGTGCATTGTTGCTGTAATTCCCACTTGGGGTGCTGTTCAGGGTGAGCACTCAGCGAATAACAACCGAATAACAACCGCATATTTGGTAGCTGCTAATACCCAAACTCCAGAGGGCTTCTGATCACAGAATGGAAGTAACAGTTGCAGCCGGAGGGACAAGAATGGGCCGTGAGGTGTGCGGGGCTCGCTTTCCTATAGTCCCTCAGTGCCAGAAAGGGAACTGTCCATGTCCTCGACTCTATCCGACCCAGCTGTGTGCACAGCTGGCCTGGGGAAACACTGAAGGGATAAAGAGCAAGTCCCTTTCAGACTCCCACGTACGAGCTCAGTTCTGAGGGAGTGGGAGTCCCTGAGACCGAGTCCCCGATCGATCGCCTGACCCACTGAGAACGGTGTTTCTTGAGAGCTTGGCTCTTAGGTGTGGTGGAAACTTATTAACTTAGATGACAAAATGTATTGACTATTGCACATGGCAGGCCCTGTTCTACAAGCGCTGAGGATACAGAGATGACACAAATCTCATCTCCTAGGGCTCCTTTTAAGGGCAGGAAGGAGTGTTGCCTGGGGTGGGGAGGAGCAGACTGGTACAAACTAATTCCTGCGATAACATAGGTACTTCAGTGGAGATATGGCAGGGGACCATAGGGGTCAGGGTCAGAGGGAGGAAGGGAGGGAGGAAGAGCGCTCTGGGAGGCAGGAGCAGTTAGCTGGTCGTTGGGGCCAGGTCTCCAGCGGGTGGGGTAGAGGTGTGGGCGCTCTCAGAACAGAGCCGCTGACTGCAAGTTTCAGAGCTCGGCGCACCTTCGGGGAGCAGACAGGTGCTGGCCAGGTGCTGACGGAAGTTGGTGCGTCTGGAGCACCAGGCGGCTCCCAGGGATGCAGAGGGTCAGAGCCTGGGCGCAGCCTCGGCGCAGCCTCCCGCTGCCTCCCGCTGCATCGCAGGCGTTCCTCCTAGCAATCCAGTGCCTGCGGCATCCCCGCCCCCCAAAACCGGTCTGTTATCTTTCATTCTTTTACAACTACTCAGTTGTTACCAACTCTCTACTCTTCGCTGTCCTGCCAACCTGGCCCGCGTTTGCCCCTCCCTGACTCCCCTTTCCAGCCCGCCCGGCCTGCGAGGCTGCCCACTGTTGCCTCCAGGAGGCAGCATGAGGCCGTGAGAAGGGTGAAGGATGAGGGATGGTTCTGGAACACAGGTCTGCATTGGAATCCCAGCTGTCACTCAGGAACTGTGAGATCTTGAGCAAGTCACTTACGTCTGCGCCTCCGTGGTAATCTGTGAAGTGAGTATAATTACAGCCTCACAGGACTGACCGTGAGGGCCCTCAGGAGAACACTGAAAGTGTGGGGGGAGCAGCGGGTGCTTTCTCGGGCTTCACTCGTCCCTCCCCCAAGCCCGGCCAAGTTCTCTGTCCTTCTGACACTAGCAGCAGCCTCCTCCCCATCGCCCTCCAGGAGCTGGCTCTGTACAGAACCACGGCAACCCAGAGCCTTCTCAGGCCTCACCAGTCTTGCTCTGGATGCCTTCGGTCTGGTGGAAGAGGACAGGCCGATGATCCACACCAGCTCTCGCCTGGACCAACCTGATCACTCACCTACATCTCTATGGGGCACAGGCAGGAACCTCAGTCTCCTGGGAAAGGGAACGCTGTCGTGTCCTCTGCCCTCCTGCAGGAGAGCTTCAGCCGTAAGGCCTCAGAGATACACTTGTTCACAGAGCACACCTGGCTGCACACTCAGTTCCAGCCACTGAGGGCTCCTTACCACCCCCTCCCCCAAGTATGTCCTCTTCTTTCTGTGAGAGGCCAGGAACAAAGGTGATGCCTGGTGTTATTAAGAATTGGTTGGCTTCCTGTATCTATTCCAAATGGACTGTAAGCTCCTTGAAGTGATGCTGGAGCATCCTGGGCTGTGTGTGGGAGGCCTGCATGGCCCGGGGCCAGAAAGCTGAGCCAGGGGAGCGAGTGCCCCCCTTGCCCGCAGTATGAACCAGAAATGCGAAGACTGAAAGAATCAAGTTCCAAGCTGGGTGAAACAATGCAGAACCCGAGATATCACGGGGCGTCCTCCACTGCACCAAAGAGAAGAGACAGCAATGGAAAAACAAGTTTGCTATCCTTTTTCTTGGGTACCACTGTATAGAGCATCTACCATTAAACGGGCGTTAAATGCTATATGCGTGACCTGATTTGACTCTATTAAAAACAAACGCAAACCCTACCTGAATCCAAAATGCAAAACTGAAGAAAGTGCTTTCATAGATGAGGAGACAGGTCGGTGGTGGAGGCGGTGGGTGGTCAGGGAGTTTAAGTCTATGTGACATCCCAAACCCAATAAATGACAGATTCAGGATTTGAACCCGGTCTCCATTTACTGCTTGGAAGAAATGAACTTTACGGAAAAGAAGCAATGAAAGACATGTAGAAGGAGAGAGCATGGTTTTCTTTTTAATAATTATTTTTATAAATTTCAAAATCATCTCAAACTTACAAAAAAGTTGCAAGTACAAAGAATGTTTTTTTCCCCGTGAACCATTTGAGAGTAAAGTGACAAGCTGCCCCATCGCCCCAGGCATGTCATTACAAATAGAAACATTCCCCTATTCCCCCACAACGCTACCGTTGAAATCAGAAAATTAACATCTCTTACTCCCAGCTGAACTTCAGACCCTATTCAAATCGTGCGAATTGTCCCAACAATGCTTTTTGTAACAAAAACACCTAATCCAGAATCAGGTGTTGCATTATGTGGTCATGTCTTTGTAGTCTCCCTTAATCTGGAATTAAATTTAATCTTATGTATAATGTAAGGTGAAGAAAAATCAAGCCTCTGGAGGTCACTGGCTCTCCAAGGGTCGAGAGAAGCAGACGGAGAGAGGGCCCTGCCTGCCTTGGGTATCAGCCCGAGCGCAGGGGCCTGTCTCTGGAGATCTTCTCCCACGGCGCGAAGCAGACTGAGAACAGAAGAAGACAACTCCGTATGAAATTACTGCCGAGGACCAGCCATGGGGCTAACTGGAACATACCGGCAGAGATGCTTCTGGAAAATGGATTTCATCCACTGCTGATAAATCTTAGTCTTTCATTTTTATTACTGTGATATTTAATAATAATTATTATTACAGCCAGTCTTTATTCAGAAGATACTCTTGGTCAGGCATTGTGCTAAATGCTTTAATTTTATCATCTACTTTAATTCTTCCAGCAATATGAGGTATGCATTATTATTAATGCATTATCATTATTAATCCTATAAGTGAGGACAGTGAGGTGTCCATGAGCTCTAGCCTCTAACGTCAGATTTCTAGACCTTCCACACAGATGCCAACAAGGACTTTGTGTGCAGCCCTGAGCCAATGGCCTCTGAGTGTCCTGGCTCCTCTCCACGGCCAAGAATACTCCATGCCTGGAGCGTGGACCTTCCCCTCCGAGGAGTTGCTTGCTCTGATGGGGAGGCCCTGACAGAGAGTAACTCGTTCAACACTCACTGCGGTGTGGGCAGCATATCAGACCTGAATCTTTCATCAGGGGGCTTCAGGTTTTGAGAGGAAGGCCAACATCCTCTTGTCCTTAAAGAATGATAATGTTTGAGGGATTTCAAAACCCCAATGTTTCTGGTCCATGGTCAACCATCACTGTAGTCAGTGGGATTTATTGGCTCCTAAGGCCTCAGGATTGAGTCAATTCGGGGAAGGCAGCAAAATTGTTAGCCTACTCTGGGCCAGAGAGCAAGCTTCTTCTCTATTGGACCTCAAGGTTTCCAGAGAAGGTGAATTTACATAATTTAATGATTTGTTTTGGTTCATTAGTAAAACGATTTATTTCCAACTAACACAGCTAATGCAGAAATGGAGAACTCATTTATGGTAATCCTCATTTAAAGATGCCCTTTTGGAAATTACTTACTAGAAGATTTTCAGAAGAAAAGAACCATAATATAGCTAAGAACTCTATACACAATGCACAGCACAGTACTTGGCTCATTGCTGGTCCTCAGTGGAGTTTCACTGAAAAAATCACAGAAGAGGAACTGCATGTGGTGGGTACATACAGGATTGATTTGGGACAGTCCAGGGACTCCGCATCTGGCTCTGGAGAAGAGGAGCATGCAGGGAGCTCACAGTCCGGCAGACTAAGGCTCGGCACAGAGTTGGCTGGCTGCCTTGTGGTGGGGAGGCAGAGTCAGGATCCTTGAACGACTCTTCTCTGGTTAGTTGACTAGGGCAAAGGCTGTCAAACCTCATTCCCTGTCTAAGGCAGGTGGATGAGGGAGTCACACTCCTCAGGGATGCTTCTCAGAGGTGAGGATGAGCAGCACCTCCCCCAATGTTGGCTCTCCTTGGGCTCGTGCCACTGGTGTTCAGACAAAAGGCCGACTTGGTGGTCTGCGACGTACTGCAAGGTAGGAACAGGTGGGCGCAGGCTGCCCTGGTATTCAGCCTGATTCTGATGATCTCAGGCAAGGCCTTTACGAAGTTAGTCTGGGCTAATCTTCAACTTCTGTCCTTAAGAGAGACCCAGGTCCGCTGCCAAGATCCATGGCTCATCACTTCCTGCTGTTGGTACATGAGTATGTCCTTCTCACGATCTCATACACTTCACATATCTGATTATACACTTAACATTCACTGATCTCTTTTACATTTTCTAGTAGTTATTTAATAATTTCCTCTAGGAGAAGCCATTCTATAAGGTAAATCAGTTAAAATAAACTAAATTTAGACTTCCTTTTGTCTGCAACGATCCTGCCTACCAAAATAAGCTGTGCCACTGGGCGTCTCGTGCAAACGGAAGAGACCTATCTAGATCTCCATGTTGTGAGTCCTGGAAAAGGTGAGGTTAAATTTATGGAATATTCCATCAACCGTGTTTACCACAGACTGTAGCACGGGGAACTGGGAGTGGGCAGACTGTAAGCCGAGAGGTTCTCACTTTTTTTCTCTCCGATTATTAAACATCAAAATTAAACATTTACCTACTAAGTGCACTACTTGCTACAAAGAGGCAGTATACTTATCGCCTCTACGTGCCAGCTATCAGTCCTGGTTTTCTTCTGTCACCGTTTCAATTTTGGACAGATCGTCCTTAAGCCAGTCTGCCACCATGTCGGCCATTTCTTGGTAAGAGTATAAGATAAAAGCATGAGGTATTTTTTTCTCACAGAGTCGAATATCTCCTTCTGGGAAGTCTTTCTTTATGTCTTCATAGTACTCTTTTGGACACCAAGCATCTTTAGCACCATAGTAGAATGTAAGCTAAAAGACAAGATGAAAACATTTCATTAGAAAATACTTTACCTTCCAAATACAGATATGACACAAGCAACCTGCTCTAAAAACAGTCCCTGTGCCTGGCCCTATAAATTAGTCCCAAGGCTCCTTCCAGAGAGTGGCTCTCTCAAGGCAGTGAGCTTTCATGGTTTGTGGGGGTGAATTAAGAGGCATCTGATGGAAACAGAGCCACATAGGGAGACAGAGACTTGTGTGACAGATCACCCACGAGTCACTGAAGGGACTCGCTAGCAAAGTTGTGTGTTGAGACTGGGGTGGACACTGGAGAGATGGCAGATGAGAACAAGGATGAGTTGTTGAGACAAAAATCACTGAGTGACTAGGGACCACTCATTATTCAATTAAGAGTTGTCATACAGCCACATGGCGGGAATATGGAACAGGTCCATTGAATGCATGCAAAGGTGAGTCAGACAGACTCTAGCTTCTCAGTGTAGCAGATGAAATGTGATCAGAACTTGAGAGTGTCTACGATATGTCTACGAATAGCCTCCATGCAGCGGGAGAGAACGGCGATTCAGTGGGGAGGTGATCTAATCATCCTTTGGGTTGCAGCGAGCAGGCTGGATGGAGACAGAACCTCCTTTGAGGCATTACTAAGATTGATCTATATCTGCCCATGATACACACACACATTTTCACATATGTACATACATGTAGACATGTGTACACATGTGCACATATATACATGTATATAGGCACACACATACATATATAAGTATGTATATATGTATATATGTATATTTATGCACACACACAATTATAACAAGTATATATATGTGTGTCTAGTTCTAGATCATTCTTCACTATAAAAACTATGTTCTAGTTCTGTATTTCTGGGAAAAAAAAGGCAACAAAAGTGAGATCTTATTCAGAGGGGTACATAGTGATAATTTCTACAAAAAATAACAACTTAGTTGTAAGAACCCGATGACATTTGTCATCACTGAAAAAAGTTATGCCCAGCTCCAGCCCTTAAGTGGCCAGTTACAGTCACTTGTAGTTTCCATAACATACCAAATTCGCTCACTCACTCAAACCCTTACTGATTAATCTGTTCAGCGACTACTCGTTGAGCATCTACCCTGTATTAGGAACCTGGAAAGCATTATAAGACAGTTCGTGGTGGGGGAAGGCTGGAGGCACCATGTACACAAGACAACCCCCAGAGAGTCGATGCCTGAGTTGACTCTTCAGGCTGGGGGGGCACACTGTGCGGAGCAGGCCAAGCAAAGTAAAAAGTGTGAAGGAGCATGGCATGCTTGGGGAGCTGGACGTAATCAGAAATGGCTGGAATATAGAATGATAGGAGATAAGACTGGCAAGGCAGAGAGAGATCGGGTGAATTTCTGTGCCATGCTAAGGAGGTTGTACCTGACTCTGAAGTCCACGAGAGCTGCAAATGGCTTCACACAGTGAAGTGCCATGATTAGATCTGAATGGTAGGAAACTTACTCTGGCTACAATAGCAAAGAGATTGTGGGGGATCAAGTGTTGGCAGGAAGATATGGGAAATACATGTTATCGTCCACTGGGTAATGAGTAATTGTGCGGTGTTGAGAAATCTGGAAATTCAGGCTTGGGCTTGAGTCCGTCAGCTCTGTTCCCCTGCTCCAGTGCGCTCTCTGGCCTGAAGACACTTGGACACTGAGAAAGGCACCCAGGAACCTTCGTACCGGTACAAGCTGTAGTGGTGGAGTCTTATGAAAAACCCTAATACAAAAGGCTCAACTGTAAGGACAGCAAGGCAGGGAAGGTCTTCCCTACAAAGACGCTGTGACAAAGAGAACAACGTCACTGTTGCTCTCTGCCTAACATTTCAGCCTATTTCTATGGAGAACTTCGCATTTACTTTTCAGGGAGATAATTACCACTTGAAATGTCTCCAGCGAGAAGTCCAGCTCGATGAGCCTCAGCACTGGGGCAATGCCACCCTTCCCCTCATGCGTGAAGGTGTCAGCTGGTTGAGAATGAGTAATAAAGCACAGATTACAGGGACCCTACACCTATCTCCCGGTACCAAGAGATAGGTGGTGACCAAGTACTTATGGGGCGCACACTGTCCACGGCAGGTACTAGGAACCTCAACACAAACTGACGTCAGTGTGCAAGACAGCGTTAACAGTGAAGAGTCTAGATTCCCCATATGTTCATCTGATTTTATTTGATTCCTCTGTGACCAGGAACCATTTAGAATGAGCTGTATTTGGTTAAACCTCTAAGTACTGGTGGGGTAATGTCTCCCCCCTCCGCCCTCCAGTTCTTCTTCAGGCTACATTCACTGAAGGGCTCGCTATGAAAATCTTGGCTTACAAGTAAAACACGTGGCTATTTCTAATGCCTTTATATACACTGGCTCAAGATACTTCCTGTTCTCTATAGATTATAAGTCACAGGCAATAGATCTGAACAGAGGACTCTGCACCTGTAACCCTAAACAGGAAACTGAAAAAGTATGGGGTGTGTGGAGGTAGTGGGGGATGGGGGAGGACAGGTGAAGTAGAAAAAGGAATAATGACACCAAAGCATAGTAGTTAAGAGTGTGTGCTATTCTCATGTCGATATATACCAATGAATCACAATGAATAATGATAAACTGATGAAAACTGAGAATAATGTGCCAGGCTCTGAGCTAACCTCTGTGCTCACTGAGTCCTTACAATAATACTTGAGGAAGGCATTTTATCCCTATTTTACAGAAAAGGAAACTGAGGCTTAGAAAGACTAACTTGCTTAAGTTGAAACAAATCTGGCTTATATATCCAGAGACAACATTCCTAATTAGTACCTTTCACTACTATCTACAATTAACTAGTGAATTGAACCATGTCATGAAAACATAAAACCTCAAGACCGGGAGTTCTTAACCAGATATAAACACCGAGTAGTGTGACCATCAATTCAACTACCTTTACCCGAAGTCTTCTCAAAGTCTATGTGGCTCATAGACTTTGGGGTGCTGCATGTTATGGAGGTGATAACTAAGAATCCCGGGCTATCAGCAGAATGTTTAAATTCAAAGGTTTATAATAAAATAAATTATTTCCAAAAGGTCATTTTTCCTTGGCACTTGCTTTGAAATGCATGAGAGCTGATAAAAAGTAAAAGTACATTATTGAGATGGAAATTATTGTGCTTCCAGATTGTCACGTTAAGTAGTCCATTTCTCTATTAAACATAAAATTTAATTTTCTCAGTTCTAGACTCTGACTTTCCAGGACTCTGCTTCTGCTTCTGCTTCTGCGTGTGCGTCCTCTGCACGGAAACATGGCGACTGCAGTCTCCGTGAGCACAGATGTTATTCTCCTCGAACTCTTCAGGGTTCCCCAAATGAGACATGTCCCCGCTACAATGTCCCTGTACACTGCTGCAGCCTGCCACCACAAAGAAGCCACATTTGTCTTTTCTCATGTTTTTTTTTTTTCCTTTCTTTTTTTACCTTTTGCTGCTGAAATGAATAGATTCACCAAAAATGACTCTAATAAATTTATCTCCCATATGGTACTACGTGGCTGAAACTCAGAAGTAAGACAGTCTTGCCTTGGATAAGATCCCAGAGCAGGGAACGACACAGGTGCTATAAACTGGCCCTTAAATACAACAGACAGAGAGAGGTATGAACAAAGCAGCGTCCGAGCCCAAAGGGGGGCAATCTGAATTCCGTCTATAAGGGAGAGCTTCGTTATGATACGCTTTGAGTTGCTGGCTTTTATGCATTAATAATAGAGAATTTATTCTAAGAACAAAAGAAATATTAGAAACTATCTTATAACCCAAGTTTATAAACTTGATTTTGCTAATAACTAATAAAAATCACTTTTAATGATATATCAACATCTTAAAATACTGAACATAGAAAAGCCGCACATGAAAATCTCTATCTAGTGGTACGTACACACACACACACACACACACACACGAACACACAATGGAATATTATTTAGCCATTAAAAGAGAAGGAAATGCTGCCATCTGCAATAGCATGGATAGAGCTTGAGGGCATTATGTCAAATGAAATAAGTCAGAAAGAGGAAGCCAAATACTGCACAATCTCCCTTAAATGTAGAATCTAAACGAAAGTGAACTCACAGAAACAGAGAACAGATTCGTGGTTGCCAGAGGCGCAGGGAAGGAGTGAGGGGACTGGGCGAAGATGGTCAGAAAGTGCAGACTCCCAGTTATGAGCACGTCCTGGGAACGGAACGTACAGCAAGTGACTATCGTCAACAGTTCTGTGCTGTACATCTGAGAGTTGTTGAGAGTAGACCTTAAGAGTTCTCACTGCAAGAAAAAAAATTTCTAACTATGTGAGCTGATGGATGTTAACTAAACTTATTGCAGTGATCAATTCACAATATATACATATATCAGGTCATTATGCTGTACACTACACTTTAAACTAATATAATGTTATATGTCAATTAGATCTCAATAACACTGGAAAAAAATCTCTTATCTGAATTACCTCTCTCTATTCAATAGTCCATTAGGACTACAGGGATTATAGGAGCTGCAGGTTAAATAAAACAAAGTTTTCCATTGCCTTAGAATTCTATTTGATAGGCGTATTTATTTACTTTTTCTTGTTCACTTTACAGATAAACTGAATTTCAGAAGCTTCTTAGAATATAATTCACCAGGTAGCCAAGTTTGGTATAAATGAATTCTTCCCAGTACTTAAGTGAATTGAAGTTTAATTGACCTTTATTCCTTCAAGTGGTCTTTGGGCAATCTGTTTCATGAGACACTGTAGACCTGAGCAGAGTGGCAAACGGTGTTTCTGGGGCTATGATACTCAGAGTGAAAGGGCTTCTCATGAAGCCTTATATTCCATTATGGTAAGATAACTTGTGAAACTGCTCAAGCTCACCATGCAGTTACAGGGAGAGGATGGAGCAGTGGGCGCCTTGTGGGAAGCCTGGGTCCCGAGCCACCTGCACCTGAACTGGAATCCTGGGTTCTCC